CCATCTTGAAACACCAAAAACTGCGAGAGAGTGTCTACGCAGACAGTCGTAAGCCCTTTGGCATCAGCCTCATTGAGGGCCTGCATCATGACCACATTGTACTCCGGGCGCAAGTTGTAGATGTAGGATGCCGGGTTGCTGTGGATGTGCACGGCAGAGACCTGAGGCATGCCCGCGAGGGCAGCCAAGATCTCGATTCCGTTGCGGACACGGGCCGTGACATACTCGATGCTGTTGAGGGTGCTCGGGCGCCATGCCGTTCCCATAGCTTCCAAAGGCGGGAGGCACCCGTAGTCTCCGCACACCTCGTTGCCGAGCCACCAGCAGACGATGTCTATCTCGCATTCGGGGTTTGATGCGCTAATCTCCGTCACCAGCCTCCTTGCTTCTTGGGCAATGTGTGTGAGGGTTTTGCCCCACAACATGGAGTACTTGAAGAGGCGGAGCTGCCATCTCTACCTCTCGCGACATATCGCCCTTCATGATCTGGCCATGATCCTTGTAGATCAAAGCCGAGGTAAAGTCGGTCACCAAAATTAGGGCTTTCTCCTTGCGGAGAGCTACCTTGTTCAGCAGGTGACCCAGGCCAATGTCGTTGAGCTCAGTCATCGCGACCAGGTTGGGCACAGGCACTATGCTGTCTTTGAAGGATGACGAGGACATACTCTGGATTGGGAGCTGTCCGTAGAGTCGTCGGAAGGCCTCGTAGAACTCCTTGCCTCCAAGGCCAAGGCGCTCAGCAGCCAAGCCTCCATGATAGAGTAGCTCGAGGGCTAACTTGTCTCGCACAGCCTTCAATGCCTTCACTCTGGCATCCACATTCAGGTACTCGGTCACAACCTGAACGTTTGCCGTCGGGCATGGAGTCGTCATCGCGACAACAGATGAAGGCTGTTTGGGCTTATAACCCGTAGGTTTTGCTTGAGCAGCTCTTTTCGCACAGGAAGTCACATGAATGCTTGCAGGAGCGGCATACAGAATAGCCTTTTGGGGTTTAGGGTGAACAGGACAGGAAGACAACCTAGCACATCCTTCCTGCTCCTCTGTGATCCGCCCTTTCCTGAGCAATGATTTAGTGATCGGCTTGGCGGAGAATCCCCCCTCCTTGTGAGGGAAAGGGAAAGTGCAGCACGCGGACGGGCGCGATTTCGGCAATCGAAAAAAGTATTGTTGCAGGGTTCTTTGTTC